CTGAGCAATTTGTCTATGCCTGAATAGTAAAAACTGATCATAGATTAAGATAATACCTTTTGGTGTTATGATTTGTAGCTCTAACAAAGCTCTAACTTGATTAAAGTCAAAAAGGCTTTGAATTTAGAATCAAAGCCCAAAGATGCCTCTCTACCACCTTGTAGCCCGTGTCAACGCCCACATCTTTGTTCTAGGGTTCCTCTAAATCTCTTTCCACATCTTTGATACTCTTGCTTCAATACCCTTCTTCAGCCCGGCTCATTCCTTGGAACTGACCCAGACCACCTGGGCCCACCTTTTTGGTGAGTGCTGCTGCAGACTCACCTTCCTTTCTAGACCTGCTGCTCTTATTGTCAGAGTGTCTCTCAGATATTTCAAGGGGATTAAGCGGATGAATGAATTTGGGGAGGGGCAGTAGGATTCACAACAGTGTTATGTGAGACTCTTCCTGCAAAGCTATTTCAATAGTTTTCTTTATAATCTGGGGCGATGGTAGGAAGGGCAGAGTGCAAACTTGGGGAAGTCTAGTTTTTTACCATGCTCACATCATAAATGTGAAGTTCTGCCTCTTTTCTTGTTTTGTTTTGCCTTGCCTTGTTTTCTACTCTCTCTCCAAGCAGGCAGGTAGGGATTCATGTGCCCTTCCCTGCATCCCCATAGAAAGAGGACCATGGCCCACACAAAGATTTTAATCATATGATGGGAGGGTTTTAGAAAGTACTTTGAAGAACACTATCTCAATGTAGCCTCCTTCGAAGACATGTTTTCAGCAGATTGAAGCAGAAAAATAACTGTTATTATGGCAGAAAGAAAAATACTTGCAGTATAAGACTATGCCTAGCAGCGTAAAGCAGAGAGCATGTTAAGCTGTTTTCCAGTATATATCTCCTTGAGGAGAGGATTTGGTTTGGATTTTTAATCTCTATTTCCCCAACACCTATCACAATGTCTGACCCATGTGATGCACTCAAGAATTTGAATTATATATAGAATGGGCAGTAGTTACCTAGTGGATTTCCATAGAAAAAAAACGGGAAAATGGGAAAATGATTAGGGGAAGGGAGAGAATAATCTAGTAAAAGAATGGCTTGAAGAGAAAGGAGGGAAAAGGTAAAGTGGACAGTAAAGAACAAAGAATTAGAAGATATTGATGTAATATTATTTCCACTAAAAACTTTTGCAATAAATACACTTTATAATTCTCTTAAGCAAATACGCTGTTGTTCAAAAGTAATAATTCCTCACAGGTAAAATATCTTACTCTTTTGAGAATGTTTTGCTACCCTAAACACAACCAGCTGATGTATATCCAACTTAAGCTCTTATTTTTTTTTAAAGTACAGTGTGCCTATGCCAATTGTGCTGAAAATTCTGATGAAATTTACACAGTGCAGAGCAATCATTTTTGTACCTGTGAGTTAATAAAACAAACACCTAATAACACTCCAGGGAAGAGGAGATGCCTTTCTTATGAAACTCTGAGGAGTCATGTATTTGATATGAAGAACCCTTTTTATTCTTTTGAGTAATGGTGCCGGCAGCCACTGATATAACTCCCTGGAGGCTATTTCCAAGCCAACACTGTAACTCAGTTGAAAGAATAGGGAGGTGTGTTAAACCTTTTTAACGCAGGATTGGCATCTCAATAAATCAAAGAATATAAAAGAAAAGAATTAACAGGAACAAAAAGAGACTATCCACCAAGAGCATCACTAGTTATCACTATTCAGAATCACTGTCTGTGATTTACTCTGAATTTTCCCGTCTTCTGATAATCTCTTAAAATTTCCTTGTTTTTTTGTTTCCTCCTGAAGAGAAACCGTCAGATGTGCATTAAAAAGAAAAGGAATAAAAATCTATGTGTAGGTATATGAATAAATACATATAAATATACATATACACACACATATAGCTAGACAAATATAACACTTTGTTTCCTAAATTGAAAAGAGTCTTTGGCTGGGAATCTGATTGAGTTCTCACCAATGTCATCAACTCAGAGCTTCACTTTGTTTAAGTAGTGGTAGTCAAGAAGTATGTAAGGTTCAGGCACCAGCCTTACTTCTCTGTGGACCACGCTGCCCAAGAGGCATGTGGGATGTAGGGTACTGGCTAATAAACTGGGTCATACATTGCAGAAAGTATTCTAAAAATATCACATATACAAAAACAACTGATTTTAAACATACTACCCTTTTTTGGTAATGACCAACAAAACCTTGTAATATACTTCAATTAATAGCTATGGAGTTGTACTTGCCAACATATTTCCAAAAACCATCATCTAAAGCAGTGACACTCTTTAGGTGATATTAACTTTTTTGTTTCTTAAAGTCTCTTCCTCAGTTCCCATTGTTGGCAGAAATCTACTATCTCCACTGTTCAGATTTAAGTGTTCCTCACAATCGACGGGTTCTTTGAGTTTGTACATGTTACAAGGTTCCCCCAAATATGAGTATGATGTAGCCTAGATTTTGGAAAGGGAGGAAGTGTAAGAAAAAAGAGCAACAGTCAACCATGTTGTCCTGTTCAAGCATGCACATGTTTTATTTAAGTATTCTCCAAAGGTCTATTTTTTTCCAGCATAATGCAGGTATTATGCTATCCTTTGAAATAAGATATATGAATTTCAAACAAAATTGCCAAAAACAATGACCTTGGTTACTCCATATGGTACACAGAAATAACTACATTTCACTTACGATACAGATGCACTTAACACAGTCATCAATAGTCATTCACCACCAACACAGTAGATTTTTAAATCACCTAAAACACCAAAAAGTTTTTTTTTTCTTTTCCAAAAATCTAAAGAAATTAATAGTTTGGGATAAACGATAAGTTGAAAAGGAGGCAGAATTGTCAACTGAAATCATCTAACTTCGTTTTTTTAAATGTAGTATTAAGAACATGAAAATAGAACTTTTCATTGGGAATCAAAAGACCTAAGTATTCCTGATTGTGGTTTCCTTAGTCTACTTTTTAGGAAGTTTTTCAACCACTGCCATCAAAGAAGTTTCGCTATATATTTTCTCTAGAAGCATAAAGTGACATGAGGCAGGTGTTAATATAATTGTTAATATTCACGCTCCAGGAAGATTAGTAACTTTTTAAAAGACATACTAGGTATAAAGCCAGTTCTTCCCGAGAGATAGTAGAGTTTGCCTTACTTTTATGAAGCAAATGTTTATTAATATCTACTGTGTGCACAGCACTGTTCTAGAAGCTATTCTAGAAATGGGAAGCAAGAATTTCTGGCTTTACTCGAAAATGGTTGGATTAAGTCTTTTTTATGATAAATTATGATAAGCATTTTAAAATCTCTATAGTAGAGGGATAGTTATTAATTCTTTCCATGTACAGAAGCTAAACTTTATTTCTTACAGTGGTGGTTTGGAATGAACGAAACTTTTCATTTGACATACAACTTTTTTACACTGTCACGTGCAGACATGTCTGCTGATATAGTTTAAAGGTGAAAAGGTATAAAGACTTTTCACTTCAATGTACATAGAGATCAACTTTGCATCATCAAACTCCTATCCTCCTGATTTAGTGGAGAAAATTGCTCCCTGCAGTCTACAGGAGCCTTTCTCAGATAAATTTGTGCTGCCTTCTCCAACGGCATAGAAAGCGTGCTTTCAACAAATATTGCTACATAAAGCACTCTAGTTTATCTCTGCATTTCAATTCACATTAGTTATTCTCAAAATGTATTTGAGATCTAAAGTAAAATAAATAATACATCAAGTGAGACTCTGGGATCACCGATTTTGTGATATTCATCCCAGCCTACTCTTTGCCTGAAACACAGAACGATATATCCAGTGTCTGGGCTTTTCCCTAACAGCAAAGAAGTTAGAGATCATTCATAGATGTCAACTCCTTTTTCCTAATTTTTGACAAGGGGATTGATGATGGTAATCTACTTACAAGCTAATATGTTGGGGAATACAAAAGTAGGAAAGTCATTTGAGCTACAAAACGTTAGTCCAGTTGATGACAATAAACCCACGAAAAGGTGCTATAGAAATACAAGAACAGATAATGCACTGTCACACGAATACAGAGGACCAAAGAATATTACTGAAAAACATTTATGGCACAATAGTTTTGGATTAAAAAGTTATCTAAAATCTGGCCACACCAGAAATTTCTCTATGTATGTGGCTCTTACTGTATCTATGAGGATCTGGAAAGTACAACAACAACAAAAATCCTGATTCCTGATACAACAGGTGTACAATGAATTATTGCAGTTGTAACAGTATCTAGGTGCAAGGTAAAATGATAATTAATACTGAACTATTCGAACGCTTTAGATTTACTAATGAGCATCCCCATGAGAAATACCGCAGCTCTGAAAGGAGTTAATTTGCACAGCCCACCATGGAACATGAGCAATCAGCTTGTTGTAAGTGCACAGAAAGTCCCCCTTTCTACAATTATAATTTATCATGCCTATTCTGAAGACAACATAAGGACACTGAGATCACTGCTCCAAAGAATTCTAGCATGCATTATGATGGTTTCCTTCAGTCAATACAAATGTGTTGTATGAGTTTTTTTTTAATATGTAATAATCTTCATCATAGCCAATGTTCATGGTTTTAACAGGAAAAATTTTTATCAAAATGTTTTCCATATTTTTTTGTTTTGCATTCAACTGGAACATTATGTTCAAAGATTTATTTTATTTATTTTATTAAAAAAGAGTTCAGATCATAAGAAGCATCGCTAGGCGGCATTTCATTGTGCTCAATCACAAAGTCAAAGGGTCACAGACTACTTCTCTGTAGAACAGGTCAGACTCTGTCTAGAAATGCCATTTGGTGGTTTTATTTCCATCCTCAAGTTTGGAAGCTTTGTTTTTATTTCACTGCCAACCTTCTTGCCTTGCTGTTTTCATCTGCAAAAGGTTTATTGTTTCTTCTTTCTTCCACATTGGAATTCTTTCCACAGCCAGAGCTCAAATTCTCTTAGACCTGGTTCCAATTGTCTTACAAAGCAGATACTCTGACAATATTTCCTCCTGAGTACTCAGGAGATTCTGGCCTGTCATCTCCTTCGGGGGTGGTTACTGGAGGTGTTGGGATGCTTATTATTGCTGTAGTCACATAAGGTTGTTCACAGTTTAGTTTAACACACTCTTCCATTTTGGCATTTAAACTGGATCGGCTGATGAGGAGAAAATAGATTTAAAAAAGTAAGTTGTTTACTTAAAAAAAATTTCCCTGCAACTGAGGAATGTATTTTGTCAGTAACATTTCAAATATCTAATTACAGTCACCATGATTTTTAAAACATGAAGCCCTAAACCTTAATATATGTTGAAGTGAACATTGGTCATGTCATTAATATTAAATGAGTGTCTAACAGCCAGCTCAATTTGGCTCAGGCAGTGTTTATCAAAGCGTTTTCTACGAAAATGCAAGAAAGAGACTCAGGCCAGTTTTGGAAAGCCAGGGTTAGGCAAAGTAAAATCGCTTTCTTTAAGACAGGACCTCTGAGAGCTTTGAGCTGCTCCTATGAAAGGGATGTACCTCAATTACCTGTGAATGTGTCTCAGTTCTTTTGACCACAGAATCATTTTACTATCTTGTCTCTTTGGGAAAGATGATGCCCTTTAAGCTCTCAAGTTACTGACAGCCAATGTTAAGAACACTAAAATGTTAGCCATTACCAATAATTCAAGATTTTCCTAAGTAGTATTCTTGCACGACTTTTATACTCTATGTGGATAGAGGGAAAAGGAGAAAGGAACAAGAAGGGTATACATGATATACTTAAATCTAATTATTTTCATGGAAATCTTACTTAAAATGTTTATGTCCTAAAATTTTCTTTCTAAGTACTTCTCTGCTTTCTACTTAATTTTGCAACGCAGAGGTGGAACATTTAGAGACAGAAATCTTTCATTGTTCTAAAATTTAATATTCTGGTCCCAGAGACATCTGATTTATGTAAATCAACACAGCCTGAATTCAGAATCTCATCCAGGTTTTTCACAAAGATTGTTGAATGAGAACAAAGAAGCAGCGCTGAATTAATGGATTGTTAATATAAAAACATAGCTATTTAATTTGAAGAACAAAGCAAAATTATTTTGGCAGGAATTGATCATTCTAATGAGTTGTATAGTTTATTTTTTTTAAATATTTTTTTTAACGTTTATTTATTTTTGAGAGAGAGAGACAGAGCATGAATGGGGGATGGTCATAGAGAGGGAGACACAGAATCTGAAACAGGCTCCAGGCTCTGAGCCGTCAGCACAGAGCCCAACGCGGGGCTTGAACTCTCGGACTGCGAGATCGTGACCTGAGCCGAAGTCGGACGCTTAACCGACCGAGCCACCCAGGCGCCCCGTTGAGTTGTATAGTTTAAATGGATTACTTTGTGTTGCACATACATGTTTGTGGGAAAAACAGAAAGCAAATAAAGACAAGCAAAGGAAAATACCACCAGAAAAATTTCACTTAAGTTGTCCATAAACTAACCACAGGTGAACAATTGTAGCATATCGCTTATCTTTTTTTGTGTGTTGGATTGATTTTTGTGCTTCTGGCAACTCAAAATATCTTTATGGTCAAAATTATATATTGGTTCAAGAGCCTTGTATAGGCATAGTTTTATTTTTCACTGTTACGTTGAAGGTGTCGATTTCTTTTAGGCGCTGCTGAGTCCTTTCCAATGATACCAGTGTCAATCTAATTGGTCTCCTTTTGTAAGTGTTGAACATCTAACATCTTACTAACATTTAGTAAGTGTTGAACATCATTTAAGGCTATTTGCATTTACATAAGGGGCTCCTGAGTATAAAGGTGTCTGCCGAAATAAGAAAAAGTTGTGGAGGTAAGGAGGGAGAAGTACACTTGTTTGTGCCTGACCATTTTGTCTTCTTTCTACTTTTCACACTGTACAACTGCTACTTTTGACTCAAATGAATATTACAGCATACTTATTACGGTATTAGTTTGTCTCATACTAAACCCTAGGAACTAGGATTTAGATGCCACAGTACTTCTAAGGCGTATTTACTAAAAATAAGTAAATAAACATTATTTGCTCCCCCACCACGCCCGCCCCAATACCAAAAAATGCCAAATACACCAAGATAGCGACATGCCTGCAGGTGGAGATACGCTCTGGGAACAGGCACAGGTGTGTGCACCCACACAGATTAACCTCGGGTACCTGTTAGACAGCGGGGTTCTCTCCACACATCTGATCTGGATCGTACTGAGTTCCTGCACACTGCCTCGGTGGCTTCCTGATACATTGGCATTAGGGATGCGGAAGGTTTTTTTGTGTCGTCGTGAACAGCAAGTGCTGGTGACTCCTTGTTGTGACGAGAGAGAAGGGCTGTGACTTGAAGGACGGTTTCCAGTCGCAACTTCCATGCAGCTTTCTTCAAAGACTTGCTCATCCACAAACTCGTGATTCTGTTCCGTAGTCATGAGAACATGCGAAAAAGGCAACAAACACATTGTGATTTTAAGAAAGGAAATGAATGGCTTTATTTTTAAAACCCAAATAGGCCCATACACTTAGACTATCCAGTGGGCAACTAGCCGCTTTCATAAATACTGGAATATCAAAGCCAGCTCATGCTGGCATTTGTGTGAAAATAAAATCTCCCTGTTAGATTTTGAGATGGACAACTGCAGGCTGATTTAGTGTCTCTTTATGGACTAACCTTATCCTGAAATATCATTTATTAATTTAAACATCATTTCTGGAAGTTAAGAGGCAAAGAAAAAAATGGTTGAAAATGCATATAAAATAGTACCCACAGTGAATGTGTAAATTCACATTGACTTTTATTTTTTAAACAGTTTGGAATTATGTTAAAGAGGCTATTTTAATAGAATGTCCCAAATTAGATTGTCTGTTTTACAGTAGCAAATATTTTCACATGAGATTGAAAACATTTTTTAATTAGAAAATGAGATAGTTAAAACATTTTCTATTTCTCTTTTCTTTTCCTTTCTTTCTTTTTTCTTTCTCTTTCTTTTTCTTTCTTTCCTTCTTTCTTTGTCTTTCTTTCTTTCTTTCCTTCTTTCTCTTTCTTTCTCTCTTTTTCTTTCTTTCTTTCTCCTTCCTTCCTTCCTTCCTTCCTTCCTTCCTTCCTTCCTTTTTCTTTCTTTCTTTCTTTCTTTCTTTCTTTCTTTCTTTCTTTCTTTCTTTCTTTCTTTCAGAGAGTGCCAGCAGAGGAGAGGGGCAGAGGGAGAGGGAGGCAGAGAATCTTAAACAGGCTCCACATTCAGTGATTCAGTGCAGAGCCTGATGTGGCGCTCAACTTGGGGCTTCATCTCATGACCCTGAGATCATGATCTGAACCAAAATCAAGAGTTAGACTCTTAACCGACTGAGCCACCCAGGTGCCTCTATACTTTCTGTTTCTTCAGATGTTCCTCTAAAATTTCCAAGTATAGAAAATGACCCATTAGTTAAATAAATAAAATACTGCAAAATGTGCCACTTTATGTTTGATTCAGAAGAGGTTAGCACTGAACTCTGAGGTCTCCTTTCTTACTTTTGTGATACATCACTGGCTGTACTCCTCTTAGCTCTGCTTGTATTCATAGTTCTTCTGGCCAAGAGGCAAACAGTGATGGGCATCATTTTGTATGCTGCATTTTAGACAAAACACAGTGCAAATTTTGTGTTTATAGTATTTAATAAAGAATCGCTTCCTAAAATGCCTATGTAAGATTTTACCTCATAAATGTAAGAGAAAAAATTTTGGTCCGAACTGCTGGAGAATGACTTCAATTACTATTTTTTTTCATTGTGTAGGTGGGAATAATCTTATAATGGAAGGCTTTGCACATGCCAAGTTCCACATAACCATCTCTCATCCTAGAATATTAGTGAAACGATTGAAGCAATTCACTGGCCAATAGCAAATAGATTGTTTTAGTTACTCATTTTGTTATTTCTTTGCTGAGACAAGCATTTTGAGGTAACTGAAATTTAAGAATCTACTGTTTAAAGTCCAGAGAATAATATGACCAGATAAGATGGAATTTCATTAAGAAGTGAATTTCGATGTCAAATTTTATAGAAAAAATATAGCTCACAAAGGATTCACAGTCTGTTTTTTTTCTTTTACCATGCACAATTCTCACACAAAATATAAGTATATAATGCATGAGATTCTAATTTTTCACATCAGTGATTGGAAGTGAAGAAGTCATTCTGTTGCTGGTTATTTTTGTAGGTAGCTCGATTTAAACTATGTTAATTGGTGCTAGACAATTTTTATTTGAAAGGTAAAATAGTAAAAATAAAAGGTAAGATAGTAAAAAATGAAAATAAAAGAGAAGAGCATGGGGATAAATAGATTTGATTATTAACGTTACCATTTACCTTTGAAAGAGTATCCTAACAGTTATAGACCTTATCGTTATGGATCTTCAGTTAAAAACGCAAATATAGGGGTGCCTAGGTGGCTCAGTAGGTTGAGCGGCTGACTTCAGCTCAGGTCATGATTTCATGCTTCTTTGGATTCTCTATCTTCCTCTGTCTCTGTCCCTTCCCCTCTCGCTTACTCTCTTGCATATATATATATATGCAAATATAATCATGTAACTACCCTGTTTAAAGTCCTCAAGTAATTTTTCATTTATTATGAGATAAAGATCAAAATTACTCACATGCCCTCCATTATCTAGACTTTCTCTGTCTCTGCTTGAGTCTCTGTATGCTCTATCTTCTGATCACCCTCAAGTTCTTTCAGTTCCTCTTAGGCCAACTTCCAGCCACCACCCCCCACCCAGTCCCCGGGTGCTCACATCACCCCTTAGCTCCTTCATTTCTTTGCCTAACTAGCTCCTAGGCATCCTGTGGGTCTCAATGCAAGTTCTTCCAGGAAAGCCCCTAGTGACTCCGCCCTCTGTGGCACTGCACTGTGGCCTCGTTTTTCCTCTGCAGCTCATGACCCTTCTTCCGGTAACATCTGTGTTTTATCCCATATGTGGAAGCTTGATGGAGGCAGAAGCCACACCTGACTTCATGGTGTATCCAGGGTCTGGCTCACTGTCTGCCACATGATAGGCAAGTAATACAAATTTGTTGAATGATTGCATAAGGAAGTGAATAAATGAATGGGGAATATGTTGGAAATGAGAATACAAGTATGTACCTCTGGGGAGTGAGGGAGTAGACTTGATTCAAATATGGTGAGAGTTTTGTTTTGCCTTGTGGTCAAAGACTGTGAGCCCTTTTGACAAGCCAGCTAGGGAAACGGTACATTTGCTAAAGTGGAGATCCGAATGAAAGCTTCTAAGCGAAGAAGTGCTGGCTCAATCCTCAGTTCCAACGGGCTTCAGCAATTAAATGGGTCATTTTTCTTATGGGAACACATAGTTTTTATTACCCATCTTGTTTATTACAACTTGTTTATGGAAAGATGCTTATATTCAGTTACTCTCTTTTTTTGTTGTTGTTATTGCTATTGTTTTTCCCTTTACCTAGATGTCAGTAATACATGAACTACATTGTTTTTTGTTTAATTAACATTTTAATTATCCGAGGAAAAATAATATTTTACAGGACCTGCAGTCAGCTGTTGGGAAACGACTTTCCATTGGAATTAAACTGATATTTTAGACTAGAGTTAAGATAATCTCTGAAGATAAAAACATTTTAAATAATTCTCTAAAATACTTTTCAAGTTGAAATGTCACTAGAGTCTTTCAAAGCAATTTCAAATATTGTGGGTTTCTTTCTTTCTTTTTTCATTTTTAGTATATTTTCCAGCAATGTAGACAGTGAAATCATACTTGGAAACGCTCAGTATCCACAAAAGCAAATGGTATTACTGTCTCCGTACAGGGGCGGACAGTCATGCCTTTTCCTTACCGTGGTTTTTTCCAGGCAGTGAAGCAGGTGGTGGTGCTGGGTTTCAAAGCTGGAGCCGGATTTGCTCATGAAGGTCTGCTCATCCTCTGAAGACTGGTAACACACAGAAGACAGAAGTGCTTTCTATTTCATTTGCAAACAATGAGAACCTCAGCTACACATTTCCAGAGAGAGAGCTAGCCTATTTCCCAAGATTAAATGGCAGCATTTTAATTTTCTTTTAACCAAAAAGGGACAAATGTGCAGTTGCTTTTAATTTTGGTAATCAGCATTTATATTTCTGTCAAATTAGCGGTCTGGGCTTTTAGACTTGCCTCCCTGAATTGAAAATTTAAATCGGTTTTACTCATTCAACTACCAGCTACCTTTGAAAGCCTGGGAGCTATTCTTTTTGGATAATAAATTTTAATCTAGTACTTAGATAATCCTGAAATCATGATCGTGCTCACCTACATAAAAGCTATTTTGATTGCAAGATGATTGGAATCCTAAATATTAAAGGAAAGTTTTGAGGTAAAAGTGAAGTTTCTCTTGTATTTGCTACTAGCAAGCTTTAGAACACTGAATGGTGTTCCCCTCCATTAAGAAGTAAAACAAGACATCATAACCCCACACAAATGAATTTTAAGGAACATAAATAATTTTGAAATAAAAATAGGTACTCGAGTCGTTGAGAATTTTTTACCTTTCCCATGTTTCAATAAGGCAGTGAAGAAATATTGCCCAATCATGAATGGGAGTCATGATTCACTGGCAATATTTCATAGCCCAGGTTCTAATCTGCTACATACAGCCAATGAGACTGTACAGGGCAAGGTTATTTAAAAATGACACTTTTGTTGTTTCAGTAGCCATTTTCATAATTGCCCACAATAAAATTATATGGTTAAATGGAACTAAATCAATATTACACTAATAAATCGAACATTAAAAAAAGTGAAATGCTTGACTGTACCTGTAGTTGATTACTGAGTAAGCCATTCCGTTTGCTCTGCATGTAAGCATTAGCACTTCCGCTTTTGGCTGCCCGGATCCTGGCAAGTCTGGCTTTCTATAAGCCAGAAGAGAAATAAATGTTAATACTCATGAGTTGTTTTCTTAAAACAGCGAAGGCACTCTGGTGTAATGCTAATGTCAGCATATATATTTTTTTCGTGAACTTTTCCAGTAAGATCAATTAACTACTTTGGAGTCGGTGCATTTAAGATTTGTAATTAAGTCGTTTTAGTAAGATCAAGTTATTTCATTGTTGTTTCTGTCAATTGTGTTAAGAGAAAAATGACAGTATTCCTTTATTTATATTTTCACTTATCTCAATCTGAGTAACTTAATGAAATGAAGACCTAACATACGACCTTCCAAATCATTTTCATTTAAACTAATGTCTTTATAAATATTAGTAAATATATTCCAAGAACCAATGGCCTGCTTGCCTCTCTTCCTTTGTTTCTTCTCCTTCCCTCCTTTCCTTCCTTACTTTTTAAAGTTTTTTTTTTAAAAAGGTTTTTATAAAAATGTATTTTAAAAATACATTTATGCTTTGAATTAAACAATGGAGGGTAAATAATAATGCAGTGTATCTGCATTCTCAAATATCAAAAAGCATTTTTTGGAATTATTTTGTTAAATTGGGCAATGTAGACCCCATGCCGAATAACATGTAGTCTCAAAAAAAATCCCTAATTTATCCACTTTTTCTATTGACACTGGCCCATACTGCAGCATGCTTATCTGATTTCTATTTCTCTCTGGAATTTGTTGAGATGAGAACATAATGAGTCCCTCCAAGGAGCTTTATAAAATTATTTTTTAATTTTAAAACATTTATGTGTAGAGAATGTTCTCCAGTTTAGAGCCTGAGGGTGGTTACTTCAATTGTTCACAGTTACAGTGAGATCACCAAAGTATATTACTAAGCAAACTAACTATTTAGCCAGATATCTGGTATTCCATTCTACTTTAGAACTGATGCTTGTGTATGGAATGAGTCATGGAATGAGTCTGGTTTTCACTTCCTGGAGGGCACTTTTTGATGAACATTCTGTTTGTAAGATGTGTATCTAGCAAGTGTATATAAGAAAGCAACTGGGATGGCTTCCTCAAGTTCTTATAAAATTACCCCATAAAGACTCCTTCTTTTCCCTTTCTAAACAACCCAGATAAATACTATCTGTAGTCTTTAACCCTGAGATTTTTTTAAAATAAAAATTTAAAAATTATCTAGCTTTTTAAAAATGAAAAATGAATACATACATATGACAAAGATTTTATTAATACAAAAGTACATCAAAAACAAGTAAGTCTCTCTGGACCCTGGAGCTACCCTACTGCTATGCTTCAGAGGCAACCACTGGTAATATTTCTAGTGAATCTTGCCAGAAATTTTCTAGGGAGATAAAAGCGTGTATGTGTGTGTGTGTGTGTGTGTGTGTGTGTGTACTCATACATTTATACACACATATTTTTACTCATTTGGGACAATATGCCTCACACTCCTTTGCACTCAGCTGTTTCCATTTATTACATACTGGAACTCCTTCCATATCTAAATATATAGATCCACCTCATTCATTATAAATATATAATATACCAATGAATAAAGCACCATTTATTTAACCAGCCAACTACTATTAATTTTTTAAAGCATCTTTTGCTGCTACAAACAATGGGTCCTGCCTTGAACATCATGATGTGCTTTTTGGCAAGACAGTTTCTAGAAGCAGAAGTATTCCTAGATCAAAGGATGTCTGTGTGTGTGTGTTTTACCAAACTTCCCTCCAAAGTTGTACCAAGATGCCCTTTCACTCACAGCATTTAAGAGTAGCACTGAGACATCTGAAGCTCTCAAAATAGCATTAAGATATCATCTGGCTTCAACTCTACCCCTTCTCTCTTCCTCTCTGAATTTATTCTTCCTGTTTGTTGATTCCAACTTAAAATAATACTTTGTACAAAGATCATATTTATAAATGATGGGAAAAATAGACAAATTTCACTCTTTGTTGGCAGTATACTGTTTAGATCACTCAAAGCACTAGAGAATGAAGTGGGAAGGTAGGAAATTTTTAACTTCAAAAGCTGTGCTGCCCAGACAGGATTTCAGGCCAGAGTTGATAAAACAATGGGAAATGACAAGCATATTTGGAAATGACTTTGAATAGATGTAATAATTCAGAAATAACTAATTTAAATATACATTTGGTTTCCAGAAAGGGATTATTGTGGAAATTTAAGTCCTAAAGTCTCCTTGGTCTCCTGAAACAGTCAATGCCTTTTTTTGGGGGGGGGGTGTCTCCCTCTCCCCCCACCTTTTCTCTCTCCCTCCTCCTTCCCCCCTCCCTTCTTTCTTACACCTCTCCTTCCTTCCTTCCTTCTGCAATTAATGCATGCAATTACATTGCCTGTATCTTAGTTCCTAGTCTCACATATGTTATTCTCCAAGCATCCAGCAGCAGTATTAGAAAACATTTTTTTTTCACAAATGAGACATTTATTTACATTAGCCAAAAATACTGTCCAGCAAAGGAAAATGACACATATTTTCCACATTGGGAAAGCCTACATATGGTGGCATCCGCTACTACAGAAGTAGTTCTAAGCTTAGGGGAAAAGAAGCAGTTGTTGCAGGGACAGAATGGCCATTTTGCTAGGCCGCGTACTATGTTAGAAAAAGCCTCCCGTCTCAAATTTCAATCACGACTTTTCTTTCATTTTACAACAATAGTATATGAGTTAATTGGTTTAATCGGTCTTGTGGAGCACCACACCAAATGCCTGTTGCATAATGCCAGCTTTTATGACCTGTGATTACATCTTTGCTTTCAGTAGGTAATTGAGGAAATTTCTTTTATGAAGATATTTTAGAAAATCACTTTACTTCTGACCCACTCAGTATGACGATCTTGGCAACTGTGGCTTTGTAGATGAGAGGTTAAAAGAAAATCACCGGCTAGTAAGAGGAAATGTATTCCTTGCAGCCCCCACCCCTATTTTGTAGGAAATACAACTTCTTGGCACAGTCAAGTACCAGCAAATATTATGGCGTGAAAGTAAAGTCTCACTAAATACTTTAGCCTATTTGGAAAATAGGAGGCTTTCAGATTTTTAATTAAACAAAAAGGCTTATATTGTCTACGTAAAAACAAACAAACATAGCTTTGAAGTTATTTTCAAATTCTTGAGAAACACCGATGGTGTTGGTAAAAATAAATTGTCTCATAAGCACATTTTCCCCCAAGCATCTCAATTCTTCATAAATTCAGTTTTCATCTAAATTCTCTAAATTCAGCAGGATTTCTCAAAGTTGGGGTCCAAGGAACTAGTAAGTGTTATGGATAAAATCCAAACCAACCAAATGAACAAACAACAGGTTCTGTGGTCAAGAGAAGTTTGGAAATGCCCAGAAGTCAAATAGGTTTCTTTGCTGTTGGATTCCTTACAACATATTGTGGATGTTCACTGTGAAGTCAAAAGGGGGATATGGTATATAATTTTCCTCAAACTAATTTGACATGGAACCCTTTTATTGTAGAGTTTTCAGAGGCTAGAATGCAGTGGTTTTTAGCAAGTGGATTGATTTTTAATTGTACCAAATGACATTATATAAACTTTACAATGTATTCCCTGAAACAGCAGGGGACCCAATCAGAGACGGTATAAGCCAAAAACCACTGAGATAGCAATTTTCTTATATGTGATCTATCTTCTAAATGAAGTGGGAGGTAGATTGTGAGGAGTTATTGGACCATGTTGTTGTCAAGTCACAACATGTTTTCAATACCTTTGAAAAATAAAGGTATCCTAGGTAGCTTTACAAGTCAGGTAGAGAAGACCTTTCTCCTTTGTAATGTGAGGCAATTCCTTACTCTTCAAATACCAGCCCGCATGCTGCATGTACCTTTTATTCTGGAAATTTTACTTAGACTTGTTTCTTTCATTTAAGGTTTAGTAAAATGCCTCATGTGGAGGTAGCAGAGTAAGCGTTAACAGCTTTTACAGATTTAAGGATTTATTGGAACCTTTCCATTTGTTAAGGTAAATAGCTCCCCTAGAAATGAGACAAGTTAGTGCCAAATACTAATAAAAAGAGAGAGAGAAGAAATCAGTTGAAGATAGTGCAAAACTGTCAGCTCTAGAGCTTGGTTAATCCTGGTAATTGCAGGGCTGGGCAGAAACAATGCCGGCAACTGGGTCAGTGGAAGGGACCCTGAAAGAAAGGGTCAGTGAAAGAGAGGGCCACGAGAGTTCTCTAGGTGGGAAGAGGTAAGAACTGAAAGAAGATGTGGGAGGGTACCAAAGACAAAACTCATGCTTCCCAATATTGTTTTCAACTGGCCCTAGGACTGTCCACCCAACCTTAGGAATGGAGGACACTGTCAGGTGAACAAGAGTTCACTGTTCATTCTTTCACTCATTTCACAAATTGTTAAGTGCTTATTTTAGGCTGGGCACCACACTCAGACAAATGGAGGAGAGGGAGAATATGTATACTACATGATAGTAGAGTCTGCGTAATGTTGTAGAAGGGAAGATGGAGCAATTAATGGTGTCCACATCATTTAGAGAAATCTTCATAAAATGGGTAATATTTGAGCTGAGTATTGCACCCTGAGTAGGGGTTTGCCAGGTGGTATGAAGATGGAATGGAGACTTAAGAGCAGAACTCAGTAATTCAATAAGACTGAAACATACAGTGGATATCAAGAAGTATATAACCTCCAGACTCTTACATGTGTTGATAATGGGGGTTCTTAAACTATAGATAAACATCTAGTTATCCACAGAGATGTGGGGTAGGGCCTGAGTGATACTTTTTAATATTGGATAATCTAAGAGAGATCATACTCAGGCTGTATTTATTATTATTTATTTTATTTATTCTAGAATTCTATAAAAATTATTTGATTTGGACATTAATTAATGTACTAGACAATGGTTCTCAAAGTATGGTTTCCAGACCAACAGTATCGCCATCACTTAGGAAATTTTCAGACTGTAATCCCACACTATTGAATCAAATGCTACAGGGGTGGGTCTAACAATCTATATTTTATATTCTATTTCAGATGATTCCAATGAATCTAAAGTTTGGCAACCACCAGAGCAAAGTATGATAAAAGACTGAGTATTGGTAACTTCTTTCTGTATCAGTGCCAACATTTTTATGTGACAAGTAAAAAATTGTACTTACATTGTCCATTGGCTGTACATGGGCTCATTGATTCAAAACTTCTCACTGTATTTAGAATTATCTATAGGAAAATCCCTAAAATACATAACTCTAATGATGCCAGAATTTCTTTGTCTTAGACTTTAATCAGTAGGTGTGCATGCATAAGACAGTCATCTGTAAAATGGAAATAATAACACTTCTGTGTGAGTTGATTGTGAAAATAAAAATAACAGTTATAAAGAACCTGGGATATACTAGAAACTCTGGAGAGGGTTGTTGTTTTTGCTATTAGTACTATTAAATTATAATTATAATTATGATTACTATTATACATGAAAATTACTTACAATTAGCCTTGTAATCACACCTTGATTGACTGGTGTGATTTGTATCTTAAAGCAAGGTAGGCTCCCTACTCCAAAATATCAACCCTACCATCTGTCATTGTATCAATTTAGCTTTATTTTGGCAACTACTTTCTTTTTAAACAATTTTTATGTGTATTTATTTATTTTGAGGGGGAGAGAGAGAGAGAAAGAGCTCATGCAGGAGAACAGGGGAGGGGCAGACAGAGAGGGAGAGAGAGAGAATCTCAAGCAGGCTCCATGTTGTCAGTGCAGAGCCCAACAGAAGGCTCAAACTCAGTAACCTCACGAACCATGAGATCATGACCTGAGCGGCAATCAAGAGACTGATGCTAACCGACTGAGCCACCCAGATGCCCTGGCAAATATTTTCTAATCAATAAATACCACTGGATAACTGAAATACTATTGAATAAATACATCTATTAAAATACAATTACTAGTGGTGGGGGTGAAAGGAGACATGCTCCAGTTTAAGTCTATATTGACCCACAGGTCGGTGTTTAGTTAAGAAATGATCAAGGATGGAGTGCCTGGGTGGCTCAGTCGGTTAAGTGACCAACTCTTCATTTTGGCTTACATCATGATCTCATTGTTCATGAGTTCAAGCCCTGAGTTGGGCTCCTCGCTGACAGTACAGAGCCTGCTTGGGATTCTTCTCTCCCCCTCTCTCTTTACCCCTCCTCCGTACTCTCTCTCTCTCAAAATAAATAAACTTAAAAAAAAATGATCAAGGGTGGCTAGAAATGTGCATTTCTTTTAAGAGTGGAGATAGGTAGTGAAAGCAGGAAGAGTACTTGCTGGGGGGGAAGAGCCTAGAAGAGGGAAAGTATCCCTGTGTGCCAAGGAGAGTGTTCTCAAACGTATATTTAAAATTTTTTTAATGTTTATTTTTTTTTTTAAGAGAGAAAGAGAGACAGTGTGAGCAAGGAGGGGCAGAGAGAGAAGGAGACAGAGAATCTGAAGCAGGCTCCAAGATCTGAGCTCTCAGCACAGAGCCTGACGTGGGGCCTGAACTCATGAATCGTGAGATCATGACCTGAGCTGAAGTCGGATGCTTAACTGATGGAGCCACCCAGGCACCCCTCAGATGCATATTGGATATATTTCACACTTTTGCTTGAGCTTAGAGTTGAAAAATGGACCAAACGCAGAAAAACATGGTCTAAAAAAGTGTTTTGTAATATTCCTTATTATTCAGCTTGACTGATGTTTTTACTAAATGGACTGTTTGCTTGACTGAATTAGTGGCTAATTTTTCATAACTTTTATACTTGTCAAATCACCTCATTCCAGATAAACCTAAACTGCCTTTAACTAAGGAATAAATTCTATATTTATTTATGCAAAAAGGCTTCTAAATTATTCTAAGATTTTCTTTCCCGATCTGATTGTTGCAGATGACAAAGTTTGAAGAAAATACAGATATTTTGGTGTTCAATTTATTTGAAAATCAGATTTGTACTTCCTACGTTTTCCATATAGGTAGTTCCCCCCCACCGCACCCCAACCTCCTCCACTGGGAAAATGAATTATAGGTAGCTCTTATGCTCTTATATCAAGGAAGGGATTTCTAGAATGAAGATGGATGGGTCCTGGGCATCTAAGATTTTTGTAGGATTTTTGTCATTTTAAACAATGTACATGTGTGCCCAGTTAGAAGGATTGTAACGTGTGGGCAGAGCCACAGTTGTGAGCATGAAAGTCCTGGGGGAGAGGCCAAATTATACCTTATGTGAGACTATAAAACTGCTCAGAAGGTGCCTTTTGCTAGCCTCTGTTTATTGAATTATCAGTTCCAAAATTCATATTAATTGGACTACTCTATTCTTTACAGTAATTAAAGGCTAGGTACCTGTCCAAACTTGGGGGAGTCTATAAAGCAAGAAAGGACAAGGCTGAAAAAGTGACTCTTTGCAAAAGGCAGAGGATCTGTGATGTTAGACTTGAACATGTTCTTTGGACAGTATGCTCTGTGACCACACTGATTACCCTGAACTTTCCTGAGAGTTACTTTTTGAGATTTTATACTCGACTAAAAGACCAACATTGTTCAAAACCATACTTAAAATCCTGTTCTGGAATTAGCTACAAAGCCAGTAGCTTTGAACTGCACCCAAATGTCTCATGATAGTTTAGAGTTATACTACATTACTGGCATTGTGGATCCATTTTAGTCATGGTTGTGGATATTAAAAACTATCTATCCATAAAGGACAACGCTGGAGTATCCATGAGGAATACTGGAAATTTAGTGACATGGTCTTAAAGAAACTACACAAGAGATTTCCAAAATTCTTTCTTTTTTTTTTAATGTTTTTATTTATTTTTGAGACAGAGAGAGACAGAGCATGAGCAGGGGAGGGGCCAGAGAGAGAGGGAGACACAGAATCGGAAGCAGGCTCCAGGCTCTGAGCTGTCAGCACAGAGCCCGACATGGGGCTCGAACCCATGGACTGTGAGATCATGACCTGAGCTGAAGTCAGACGCTCAACTGACTGAGCCACCCAGGCGCCCCTCCAAAATTATTTCTAAGCAGCAAGGGCCCTGACTCTAAAGGTGACTATTTTGACAAAAATTGGAGAAGGGAAGTGTGTTAACATTTAGTCGGGTTTTCTGAGAGGCAGTCTACCATAATGTTTATGTGTATGAACCTGGGTGTCAGGTTGGCTTAGATTGAATTTCTCAATTTCTGCGTACTTTCGGATCCTTATCTAAAAAATAGGAATAATAATGTTGACTCACTCCTAGACTCATGAAAACAATATGAATTATTTAAAAAAAAACACCAAACCAGTACCCGGCACATAGTAAAACCAGAAATAAATGTTAAATATTGTTACTATTATGATATACTCATATAGATTTATATAAATCTTTCAGGTAGGTACATTTTCCCCATCTTACAGTTGTGTATACACCCTTACTCTTAGAGGGATTAATAACTGGCACGAAGTTCAGAGAAACAGTAAACTGGGCCAGGAATAAAACTCAGCTATTAATGATCAGATTTCTCCTACTTCCTGGGTCAACTATTTAAAATATCTGAGACATATCTTAGTTCCTTTTAATAGTCCTTGCTTACTGGAACCAGCTTGATCCCTGATGGGCAAAGACGAAATTAATTAGATCTAGAAATCTGATTCTGATAAAATTTGCCAAGAATCTATCTTTGATTTTACTACTATCATTAGTGCTGTTTACTAGATAATTCTTTCTCTCTGCCTCTGATTGCACAGTAGGATTATATTCCCCTGCCCACTTTGAAGTTACACACGGCTATGTGACTTACTTTGGCTAGTGCAATAGAAATGGAAGTGACTTGGCCCACTTCCAGGAGGAGGTTTTAGGAGTCAGCGTGATTCATCATGTCCTGTTACCCCGGCTTGAATGATTGCAGAATACCTTGTCAAGATGGAGTTTCTATCACTGGACCAGCAATGGACCCGCAGCATGACTGAGAAATATTCCTTGTTGTTTTAAGCCACTGAGATATTAAGGTTCCTTTTTTACTGTAGTATAACCTAGCCTGTGCTGACTTATGCAACTATCGACCAAAACTGGAACACTGAATAGCCAGTAAGGGATTTTTAAAGCTCACTATAAAAAGGGGGAGATGTTAAATCATGATTGCACAGAGCTGAATACACACCTTCTGTGCTCTCCGTTTGTCTGCTCGTTGATTTTGGTGGTAGATCCGACTGAAGTTAGATACGATCACTGGAACAGGTAGAGCAATGACCAAGACCCCACTCAGTGAACAGATGGAACCAAATATCTTCCCTGCTATGGTTTTTGGTACCATGTCACCATACCTGGGTTAGAGAAAAAAACATGGTTTTAAGTCACAGAAATTTATTTTCACCTGCTACAAATAGCTTTTTACCCGAAGTCAAATGATTTTTTAGACCAATCTATCTCTACTTCATGACTACCATATACATGGGTTAAGACCTTAATAAACCAGAAATTATGAATATCTGAATATGAAAAAATTATCTTTCAATATTGCAGGAATTGATTCCAATATTTAGATATCTCTTTGATTGGAAAATGTTTTAAGCCAGATGATGTAATGATAGCTCTTCAGTTTGTCCTTTATATAATATGGCAAAATTCTTCACATTTACTTAAAAAAATTTTTTTTAACATTTATTTATTTTTGAAACAGAGAGAGACAGAGCATGAATGTGGGAGGGTCAGAGAGAGAGAGGGAGACACAGAATCCAAAGCAGGCTCCAGGCTCTGAGCTGTCAGCACAGAGCCCAAAGCGGGGCTCGAACTCAGGGACTGTGAGATCATGAACTGAACCGAAGTCAGACGCTTAACGGACTGAGTCACCCAGGCGCCCCTCTTTACATTTATTTATAGTTAGTATTTCCATGCTGAATTTCATAGTCTAGATAACATCTCTTTCCACTTAATTTTTTCTGCATTAGATTGGTTATGAAATTTAAGTAGAAAAAGTGTTATATCACATTCTTTTTATCAGACATAATCACTTAAAAAAAGCTTTCCAAGGTCTCATTAACTTCTACTTGTTAAATACAATGGTTATTTCTTCATGATGATCTTATTCAATCTCTCATTTGTACTTGATTAGTTTTCTCTCTTCTTGGAACACTTTCCATTGGCTTCAGTATTGGAAAATTCCCTTCGCGGTCCTCCTAACTCAATGGCTGTTCCTCTGTCTTCTTTTCTGGCTCCCCCCTGCCCCTTATCTGATTTTTAAATCTTGGAGTAATTTAGCTCTCAGACTCTTACTTTCTCCATATAAACCCTTTCCTATGTGATATCATCCAATCTCATAGCTTGCAGTTGTTGCTGATACCCTAATTTATGTTGACAACCCTGATGTCTACCTAGAAAATCAGACTCATGTCTTCAGTGGTCTAGTCTGATTTTTCCTACCCCTGGATTTTTAAGAACCAATTAAGAGCCAATTAAAACAAATTAGCCAATAAGGAACTTTTATTTCCCTAGCTTCCTCTGCCACCCTCAAATCTGTTCCTCCCACAGTCTATCACCTCCAATTCCATGGAACTGTAAACCACTCAATTGCTCGCATCAAAATTGAAAGAGTTACCTCAATTCTCAGTCACGCATCTCATTTTTGAGCTAGTCTTGTTATCTCTGACCAAACTGAATTATGTCCTATTATGGTCTATTTCCTCAACCCCCATTTTACCACAACAATCCAAGCAATCATCATTTCTTGCCAGAGTGATGGATAGATATAGCTTCTTACCCTAACTCTCTCCTTCGTATTTACCACTGTACAATTCATGCCAACATAGCAGTCGGAGTTATGGTTTTAGAATGGAGAGTGCACTGGTGCCACTTTGCTTAAACCTTCTAATAGACTTGGAACTAAAATAGATCCAAACTCTTCAGTTTTATCTCCAAGGGCCTATATCATTTAATTACCACCTGTATCTCATACCACCTTGCACCAAGTCCACTGTCTTCCAGCTATGTGGGCCATCTGGCTTTTTGTCCACAATGTGCAGCCCCCAGATCATCATTATTCAGGTTGAGACTTAAATGTCTCCATTCCAGAAGTTATTTTCTGGCCACCTTATCCATAGTGGTCTTATTCTCTCCCCTAGTCATTCTCTTTAACATTTTCCCATTTAATGACCTTCACAGTACTATTAACACATGATATTTTATAACTTATTAACATATTTATTTTTTGACCACCCACCTGCCCTGCTGACATTAGAATATAACCTTGACAAAGCAAGATCTGCTCTATTTAGTCCGACTAGCACAAAGCTGCCTCAATAAATATTAGTCAAAGAATCCATTTTCTCTACCTTATTGATACAGAGTTCTAAGAATTCATTTCTGGAGAGGGGGCAAGAAGGATGTCTTTTGATCGTATTACTGCAGAGGCTGCCCGGCTGTGCCTGTAGAGCCCCAACCTCTCCATGTTCACTTGAGGGGTCTGGGGTGCTCAGCACTCTGAGAGGAGCTCAGGTTTTGGAATCCAGACTCAAGGAGGTTTAGGAGGACATGGGGATGCATTACATCTTGAAGGGTGGCCCAGGAAATGATCACTCTGATTTTGTTTTGTGGGAAAACATTTGTGTGTCAATGTGGGAGAGGGAAGTTGCAGGGTTAATTGGCCCAGGAAAGGCTGGTGGTGACAGCCTATTCGATAACCCATTCCAGGCTCTGGTCCCAGTTACTCATTCTTGTCAGTGTTTGTGGGTGATCAGCAGTTGAGCTAATTCACTGTAACTAAAATTCCCACAGGTTTTGGCATCAGAATGGCGGTATTAATTAATAGTGAGACAAACAGACAGACAAAAGAATAGAATAAATCCAGGAACTGGAATGCTGTGTCCATATGAAACAGGGTATTTTTCTGTAGTCCATCAGGGAAGTTAAGTTATAATCTGAAGTTTATGTTAGTAAGGAAACAGTCACACATAGAAGAATTTATAAGGTGAACGATCAAGTCTTGAGGACTTTTGTCCTATAGGGATCTGTCAGTGGAATTGGAAGATCAATGTTTTATACAATGCTGTGTGCACGTGAGCCAATTTCTATGTTTGCCACAGTTTACACTGAGTGCCCAGCCATATTTTAAAGACATCTTTTTTCTCTTTGCACAGATTGTACAGTAGGTCCTGGATAAGTCTGAAACACACAAGCAGCTTTTCAAAAAAAAAAAAAAAAGGGTGAGGGGTTGATTTTAATGTCTACCAATCAGGATCTAGAAAGATTTTCTAAAAGGGGAAAATAAATAAAACTCAACTATGTTTGTTGTGGCCAGAATAGATAAGCATTGAGTCCATGCAAATAAAATAAACCTTGTAAGATATAAATACATAAAATAAAATAAATAAAATAGTTAAATGAACACAAAATAAAGTTTTTCCTGTCTTTCTCTAAGAGATTTTTAAAAATTAGTATTTATCAGCTATTTTTGTATCCTAGGCTCACTATATAATAGAGTAGGCAAGGCTAGCACTCTTGTAATTATTAGAGGAAATTAAGGGCTAAACTGTGTGGTATGGACCCAAAGCTCAGTAAGACTTTAAGAAGACAGAAGGTTTGTAAGTTCAAGTAGCAGGCTGTGGTGTGGCAGGGATGGAGGCTAATCATATGTTCAGAAAGACCTTACCTCAGAGAAGAGGAGAGAAAATAGACTCTGAGGGACTCAGTCAAAGGAATTCTGAGCCAATTGATAAAGCAGGTTTTCCTGGGAAAGCGATTTTTGACAAAGTGCCCAGGATTCAACTAGAGAAATAATCACTGCAAATCCTTTTCGAATATAAACAGAGATTATAATATAAATAAATACATAAAGCAGAAAGTGAACTTGGTACTCAGAGGGCAAAGTGAAATTTCTTGTACAGTTTGTAACAAAAGGGTAGAAAGTAAAGATATGAGCCAGCTTGCTGAAAGGCAGAAAATTCATAGTCTAGAAGGATCCATAAGGAAAAAGAGATAACAGATAGAATAGGGGTACTTTAATGTCATGAAACTGTGCTAATCTGCATCAAATGCAATTACATTTATTATTTACCTCCACCGTATTTGTTTTACAATCCAAATTTTCTTCACAATCAAAGTCACCTTGAGGTGACTGGCCAGGACTGCAGTGATCACGATGGGAAGCAGAAGGGACCACAAAGTGCTCGTTGGAGGGGGCATCTTCTCCATCTTTTACTCTTGAGTCAAAGGACAGATCTTTCTCAAGATACAGAAAATGAGGATGGGCCCCAAGTCTCCGCTGTTGTGAAACTAGGGTAGAGGGAGATGGGAGGAGGGCACAGGGAGCAGAGAGGGCAGGGTGCTGCCGTTGGGGCCGGGGGGAGGTGCGGGCTGCCCCTGATTGCTTGCTAGGACACCTCAGGCTGATTTGCCAAGAAGCACCTGCCATCTCCTTCCACAATCCCCTTGGAACTGTATCTATTGCCCTTTCTGCTCTTCTTCCTGTTCCCCACTTCTTTTCAAGATTGGACTGCTGTTGATATTTGCAATATTTTAAGCATATTTCACTTGTTTGAATATGCTGGAGAATCACCACAAATACACAGTGCGATTTGTATCTATTCTTACACTGTCTGTTGTGTCTCTCTTCTCACTTAGGATAACCTTGAGAATGGAAGTTTTATCTGCAAACTTATAATTGGGCACAGAATCTACCGGGGATAGGAAATAGCTCTCTGGCAAAACCATCTGCTTTCCTTTGTTTAACAAAAGATCTTTTAACTAGTATTCATACTTGTAGTAAGAAGCAAAATAGCATTATACACCTCAGGAATCATACCTCAAACTCGGTGGAGGAAAGGCTTAGAATAGAAAGCTTCATAATGAGAGGTGACACTCTAGCTAACTGATCATGTAGTTTAAGTATTGCCTACAATACTGCCATCTTTTAATGATTATTTCTATCCAAGGCAAGTTGTTTACTGGTTGGTATTTTATTCTTTTTGTTGCATATAAAAGCACGCCTCATTTTCCTGACTCCCTACTCTTAAATTTATGCTAAGCCCAGCAATATTATATATTCTAGTCTTTCTGATTTTGTTCAGAATTTAATATTATTTCTCCAGTCTTCAAAAATCCATTTCCCAAGAAGATTTACACTAAAACTTTATGTAGATGTGGTTTTGTTTTCATAGAGACATTTTTTCCTATATTTAAATAAAATTTATTAAAAGATTATAAGGGGCTTCTAAGGTCTGCTAAGATAAATATTGAATTCCTAAAAGATAGAAGAAAACAGGGGAGAAGATAGCATAATATAAAAGGAATCACTCTCCAAAAGTTTTGCATAATAAAAATAAGCAGACTT